ATTCATTTACGTTTGTATTTAAATGTCAGACTAGAACAGTCGTGTTCAGATTCATATTAAAATGCTAGAACGACAAATTCTTATTAAAATTTTAATATCATAATAAAAGACTCTTATTTTTATATTTATATTTCAATATAAAGATAGAAGGCTTCGAAACAGATTTATACTAAAATGTCAGAATAAAAGAGTCTTATTCACATTTACAATTAAAATGTTACAATAAAAGGTTCTTATTAAAATTTACATTTATGTATCATAATAAAGGACTATTACATGAGAATTTATGTTTCAATGCCATAATAGATGACTCTCTTAATAGAAGACTCAGATTTATTCTAAAATGTCAGAATAGGAAGCATACTAAAATTTATTTTTCAATTTCATACTGAAGGACCTTTATTTAAATTTATATTTGAATGTCAGAATTCTTATTAAATTTTATTTTAAATGTCAGAAGAGAAACGACTCTGATTCAATTGAATTTTTGAATATCGACATAGAAGACTATCATTGAAGTGAGAAGTATAAATATAGTAGTATATATAAAAATATTGTCATTTCGCTTTGGAAGAGTAATCGGTGCCTATCAATGGCATTGTTGTCTCCGTTGTTAGTCGAGCATGGCTTGGAATCGACAGAGGTACACATGCCGGTGCAATTCGATTGTAGAAGCCATGCTTCTCCGTGAAACTCTCGAAACTTTGCAGACCAGAAAATATCGTTGTTAAATGTTCAAGAGCGAAACGAGAACCGAGTCCACGTCCTGCCAGGTAGCCGCAGGTATTATGACAGCCGAGGTTGTCGCAGTCTGGAGACTTTAACCAGCGGGGTTGGGCTGAGAGCATACCCTAAGCGTACAACTACAATTAATAGTACAACGTGGAAAACTTCAACACCCCGGAGTCATGTTCTCCCGGCGTTCTCGATCGAGAACTACGGGTCGATTATTTTCTCGTGTGAGCTGTTTGAATCGGGGAAAATATTTGACAAAAAGTTTCGGAGCTCTTTGATAGCTTTGGGTAAAGAAATTAGAAATCCAGCTGCTCGTTTCGGTCTAATTAGTTAATTCTTAAATTTGACCAGCAGGCCGGCTATTAATCACTTTGACTGGCAATATTGGAGATTCTAGAATATCGAAATTTCAGCAAATAGAAATTGGAAAATCTATGATACTGGCTGTGAGACTTTTAAAAAATTCTTGCCACCAAATTTTAGTAAACTATGTTGCAAATCGAAAGGTACTTGTATCATTCGTAGCTATAAATCTCGGTTTTACAATGTAAGATATAATAAGATATAAGATATTATGTAAGATGTAACAATAACATATATATTTATATTATCATTATAATTACAGCTTTAAATAAAAAGTTTAAACAAAAACTTATTTCATAATTAATATAAAAATAGTACTAAAAAGTCTGATTTTGTTAACTTTATATCCGAATCTTTTAAATAACAACATCAAAAGAAATGAAATTAGGTGACTTTTTAGTACAATTTCTATTGCTATTGAAAGATATATTACGAAGATTTTATTTACAAATTATAGACTGTTAAAAAACATCGATTTTGAGCAAGTGTCCCGAAACTGTCCGAAGTTCTCTGCGTTGAATATCGTATCGGCGACAAATATCTCTGTTGACGTTCGGTAATGAAACAATAGATGCGTTGATCTCAATTCTGCGT